CCCGGGGATCTTCAATTTGAGAATCGCCGTTTTAGAGGATGGCAAACGGCATCTTGTGATGCTGCAGCATGTTTTGAGTTTGAATTTATTTTATTTTTTATTGAAGTGGTTAACAAAGTCAAGTGCACTTTGAGAGAGGATACAAAGTGTACTAACTTTAAATAGACACTTACAGGGTCGTATGAATATAGTCAGCATCTGGTGTCAGCATTTAACTACTATGTCCCACAAAGTGATGCACCCCTTAATACTCAGATTAGATTGTACTCTATATTTTCTAACATTTGTAACACTGACGCACCTGTCTGTGCATGTTTTTTCATAGTAACAAAAAATAGTGCACGAACATTAATGGGCTGCGGTCATTTGTACTTTGCACTTTCATTTACTCTACATGTAGGATAATTACTGTTTTGCTGTGTATGTAGAAGGAAGCTTTAATGTCTCAGAGAGGCACATTGACTTACACAGTCAGAAATAATATACAGAAAAGTGCAGCAATGAATAAAAACTAAGTGCAAAAAAGTACAGAAGTAGACAACCACACAAACACTGCCACTGCTGTTATTGTCACCAAAGTCATTTTGTGAAAGCAGTGATAAGAAGCAGCTAGAAACCCTGTCACACCTGCTGCTAGGAACAGGCCATCAAACATTTTGTTTAAAAAGCCAGTAAATTGTCAGGAAAAGACCTCATATACTCTTTAGTGCTGTCTCTACAGAGGTAAAATCTCTGTTCAGTTTGAAGTAAAATTTATTATGTAAAGTGTGCTGGGAGTCCAGTAAAATGAATTAAGCTCTCTGTAATATGTATACATCCATATACAGCTTAAATGTATTGTATATTATCATATCAACACCACTGTCACCCCCTCCCCACATACACACAATACATTTTGTACATCTTGCAGCATATAACAATGCAGTACCACAAACTAAAACTTGTTATCAGAGCCAAATCTCCCTGATTCTGACACACTCAATGGTGTATGAGTTGTTCAGAGGCATCCTCCCTGCTTCATGAAATCCCATTCACACTTGAACGTTCAGCTGAGCCTAAATGTCTGATGAGGGACTCGAGTGCACCAGGGGTCTGATTTTCTTGTCTTCCTGTTTTCTAGATTTGACAGTGTTTGAAAAGCTCAGTTGGTTTTTCACTAATTCTCTACAAGACAGTCTTTCATTCCTCAGAGTAACAATAGCTTGTCTTTAATGTGCCGTGTGTTGACATTTGCCTCTCTTGATGGCTGCCGAGCATCTTAAAGTTCCACTAAAGACCTAAATCTTTGCATTTAAGGTCCTGCTAACTACCAAGCAGATGCTGACGGTGCTCTTAATGAGTGCTTTATCAACGGCAGGTGCACTGAAAAGGTCACACTATTTATGTTAAGAACACACCAACAGTGCTAGCCCTGATTATTAAACAAACATGTTATCTATAAAAGCTGCATATGTTTCTTAAAAGGTCTCAACTGGCAGTAAAGTACATGTTGGGTTTAGTTTTAGATCTGATATTGCGAAACCTGCCGGATGAGGTTCTGATCTTTCTTCTCTGTGGTCCCTCCTGAAGGTGAAGCGGACATATTCCCAGGGAACGTACCGTGCCGGGGCCATGCGGCAGGTCAGTCTGGTTGGGGCTGTGGACGAAGAGGTTGGAGACTATTTCCCCGAGTTCATCAGCATGTTAGAGGAATCTCCCTTTCTGGAGGTTAGTGTGTTTGTTATGTAAACACCACGACAGCCATTCGATGTGGGAATGTCTCACTTTTCCTGCTGTATGGATATGAGTCATTTTGTAACTCCCAAGTTTCTCACCTTATGTTTATGCAGCGCACTCTTCCTTGGGGAACGTTCTCCAGTCTGCGGCTGCAGAGCCCCACCGAGAGCGACGACGGCCCCATCATGTGGGTCAGACCTGGAGAACAGATGATCCCCATGGCAGACATGCCAAAATCACCATTCAAAAGGAAAAGGTGGGTTAATATATTGTGTGTGTAAATGTTTGCCAGTGTGCAGGTGTTATTGTCTCACCAATAGTATAAAGAAAGTTCATTTGTGAATTACTTTGAGCTCATCTTTCACACCACATGAACTTAAACATGCCTTGAACATATCCTGTTGAATAAATGTATTTCAGGTCCACCAATGAGATAAAGAACCTGCAGTATCTACCCAGGGCCAGTGAGCCCAGAGAGATGCTGTTTGAGGACCGGACGAGAGCCCACGCGGACCACATCGGTCAGGGGTTCGAGAGACAAACTACTGCTGCTGTAGGTGTGCTGAAGGCTGTGCGCTGCGGAGAGGAGTGAGTACACAGTGACATGTTTTACCTATTCATACGTAGTACACACACATACTTCTACACCTTTGCATTGAACACAGCCTGACAGCGTGTTGCCCACATAACTGTGATAAAGCACCTTTGGTCTGGCGCTATAGGCAGTTAAAAATGTTAAAGGTAACAGAGCAGAAGGTAACACAACGTAGACGGTCAACACTTCTGTTACAATCACTGGTAACAGAACACTTGTTTACAGATTTAAGAGTACTGTGAAATAATAAACTATGGGGAACATGTCAATCTCAGGAGGTTGACAACGTCTGTTTTTAACTCGTGTCAGTAAACAAGACTTTGTGTATTGTCTAGCAGGAGTTATGCTCCTGCCCGGATCACCAAAGATGTTGTGTGTTTCCACGCCGGAGATTTCCCAGATGTGGTCATGAGGCTGCAGCTGGACCTCCACGAACCTCCGCTGTCTCAGGTGGGTCAGATTTGTTAACTGTGTCTAGTACTATACAGCCGTATAAATAGATCCGTTCTTTCGGTTTGTGAGATCAAGAGATTTAAACATCCCTTACAGCTGCACTAATCAACATGTTTATATTAATAGTAAATCAAATGACTATTTGTAATGTAATCCACAGATAATTAACACACAACTCTAGTTCCCTTCAGCTCTGCTGAGCTTTATCATGTGTTTCAGCTCATTGTTCTGGTTTTATAGCCCGAGCTGGGTTCGCTCTCACCACTCGTCAACCCTGCTTTTTAGCAGCATGCAGCTGTTTTTAGTGAAAAAAGCTCAGATAAACCCACTGTACGCTACCTACTGAGCACCAAACCGATCAGCTGGTGAACATTTGCCAGGTGGCCATAAACACAACTCCAAATGAAGGGTCTGCTGAAAGTGTAAATGAGCAACTCTGTGCTAACATTTTCACCATATCAGCTTTATACAATGCTAATATGTCAAAGTTGTGTTTACAGCTTGTTGCATTGTCTCCTAGTGAAGTCAGGAAATGCAGTTGACAGTTGAAAACCCAGAGCTTTTCTTTGACCTCCAACATTGTCTCTCTGTAATACATTTAGAGTAGAGGAATTCCTTAGTATAATACTGTTCGCCTGTGCAATACATGATCTGAATCAGATGTCATATCTACAGTGCAATAATTTAAGTATTTGCTCATTTTATTGAGACATTACTGAATCTCATGTGTTCCTGTTACTGCCTCCACAGTGTGTACAGTGGATCGATGATGCCAAGCTGAACCAGCTGAGGAGGGAGGGCATCCGATACGCTCGAATCCAACTCTACCATGATGACATCTACTTCATTCCCAGAGGAGTTGTCCACCAGTTCAAAACTGTGTCTGCTGTCTGCAGTCTGGCCTGGCATATCCGACTCAAACAGTATCATGAGCACGAAGAGAAGGAGGAGGAGGAGGAGGAGGAGGAAGAAGAGTTGAAGGAAGAGGAGAAGTGTGCGCCTAGAGAAGTAACACTTCATATCAAAGAAGAGGAGGAAGACGAGGAGGTTGAGGGGAAGGAGTGTGGCCCTGCTGTACAGATGGTGACAAAGCTGGAGGATGAGGAGATTGAGGGAAGGGAGGGGTCGCCCTCACAAACTCCCACACAGACTTTCCAGGAGGAAGAGCAAGAGAACATAGCCGAGATGAAGGAGTTGTCAGCGACACAGTCTCTACCTTTTGTCAAAAAGGAGAGAGATGAAGGTGTACTCCCTCACACACTAATGGAGCCCAAAGCTGAGGAAGGTGGAACAGAGGAAGGTATGGGAGTGGGAGATGAAGATGCAGACACATGCCGGACACCGCAGAAGGGCCATGAGGAGGGTGGAGTGGACAGTGCATCCTTTAAGTCATTACAGCAAATTAGGAAGGAGAATGATGTGGAGGAAGAGAGGCAGCAAAAGACAACTGTGTCAGGTCAAGGTCTGAAAGACAAGACTAAAGATAGTATAACGAGCACTTACAACACACCACAAATCAAAAAGGAAAAAGATAAAAGCAAAAGAGAGAAAGATGAAAAAGAGCGGGTTAAAGAGAAAGAGAAGAAGGACAAGGATAGGAGTAAAGAGAAGGAAAGGGATAAAAAGGAGAGGGGGAAAGACAGGGAGAAGGACAGGGTGAGAGAGCAGGAGAAAGTTAAGGCTGAGGGAGGAAGAGAGGGTAGTACATCGACGCAGCCATTGCCACAGATGAGGAGAAAAGAGGACGAGGAGCGGACAAAAGAGGGCAGCAAAGCCTCTCAAACTTCCCTGCCTGCACAGAGAGACGAGAAGTGGGCCAAGGAGTGGGACTCAAAGACACAACCCCATGTCAAGAGAGAGAAGGAGCACGCAGGGAGCGATAAGGAGAAGGGAGGCACCCAGGGAGCGTCTCACTTACGGCCAGACGGGGAGGGGGTGCGGGAAGCCTGTTCGCATAAACACAAGTCTTCGCACGGGAAGAAGGACAAAAGTGGCCACAGGGAGGGCAACACGTCGAGTACGCAGGGGGCACAGGCAAAGGCAGGGAGAGAGGATGGGAAGATGGGCACTCCCAAACCTGTGAACACTCAGGTAAAGAAAGACGGAAAGAAGGATAAAGACATCAACAGTAAAGAGGAGAGGAAGAAGTCTGCCTCTGGCTCTGCGCCACCAGAACACAAACCACCACGGACGCTCATCACCTTTGACCTCTTTAAGCCGATGGAGGCTCACCAAACTCTGGCCCTTTCCTTCACAGACAGTAGGCCTAAGGCCCACCATCACAGTGATCCTCGAGGCTCATCCTCTAAACCTGGATCTGACAGTCGGACAGTTGTGCCCTCTAAAGGACCAAAAGTAAAGGACACAGTGCAGGGAAAAGCTGCCACACCCCTACAGGACACTCGGCCACAGCAGCACTCCTTAAAACAACCCCTTAAAACACACACACCCCAAACACAGAAAGACTTCTTAATATGAATGTCTAGATGTCTTGTTTTTTTTACTGTACAACTTACGCTGAGGCTTTGTTAAAGTATTTGGAAATGCATCCTTCCTCCAGACATCAACTGGTCTTTCTAATTTGTAATAGATGAGCAGGGTGCATTCCATTACTTTGCTGACACAGCCACATTATGCCAGTGACGTAGTGAAAAAAGGATGCACTCTCCAAGTATTTTATCAGTGCCTAAGAAGGTAAGCTAAGTAGCTCACCTCACATTTGTTAGCGAATGTACGTAGGTTCTATATAAAATGTTGTGTGATCCATGAAATCAGCGCCTGTGCACTACTTAGCTTCGCTTTTAAAGCACCTATTTTAGGTACTGAACTAGCCAATCGGAAAACAACCATACTTACTCCCTGCTATAGAAATTACCTACATTCACTGTTTGGGATATTTCAGCAAGTCACAGAGCTCCCGCTGAAATCCTCTTTGCCGTGTTGCTTTAGTCGATGGGGTTTGTTGTTTATAACACTCCAAAATCGGAACAAGTAGTTGTTTTCAGACTGGACGTTGTTTGACTCACACAGGGCTGTAAATGATACTGTATGTACCAAAACTGTACAGTATAGATGTTATTGGCACCAATGTGAGAAAATGTATACAGAAATTGCATATATTTTTTGTAAGACAAGTTTTATTTTCCATAGAACTTATTTATATCATTTACTGTCTGTTTTTATTTGAAAACCAATGTATGTGAAGATTTTGTTGTAAATACATTTTATTTCCTAAGATAAGACTTGGTAGTGTGATTTATACTCTGATCAGAACCTCTCAATAAATGGTTCAAAAATATTGACTTAGTGTTAATGTCTCTCCTGCATTTCATATCATTAAGGTTTCAGGCAGCTTGGGTCTACAGTTGATCCAACACTGAAAACTACTGGACTGATTGCCATGACATTTGGTGCCACAGTAATTCAAAATGTCCACTTTTAACTAACTGCTAACATGCTCACTTGCTAGTATGTGAAGTGCTCATGTAACATGCTGACCCTTTTCACAGCAGACATTTTGACTTGTCATAGTGGGAAAAGCACAGGTGTTCCAACGAACATTAATGATAAGCCCGCTCTATTCAAGTGTCCCAGTGAGCCAGCGTGCACAATCCCAGGGTCCTGAAACTGAAGCAGCTAAATGGAATTCAGCCATCTTTGATTTCATTATTAACTCCTGTGCTCTTCCTAAACAAGTCAAACAAAAGGCCTATTTAACACTCCAGCAGTCCATCTGAAGCTTATAAAGTGCGGCTAAAACAGGTTAAATGCACTTACTGACACATGCGTCTACCAAATGAATGTAACTAGTGGAGAGCCCTTCAAATCTGGCCTGCTCTGAGCGGGCTGATGGAAATGACAAAAGATGACGCTGAAATATAAATGACGAAGTCCAGCTTACACTGATAAGTTGAGTGTATCAATACTGAGCTGTGCCTGACAAGGTGAGTTGAGATGAACCTGTTGATTTCTGTAACAGGGACTTTCATCTGGCTGATTTTATGTTTTCTGATCACACATAAAAATTTATCCCCAGGACATAAAAAATTGTTTCAGTAGCAGAAGGACATCCTGGGATGGTTATGAACAAATAGTTGTAACACATCATGTGTGTACCATCACATATGCAAGCTGTGAGGAAATGCTCTAGTAGTGATACAGCGATCTCACAAACCGGTGGAATGTGGCACACAGTGCATGCAAGTGAATACTGGATAGTTTCAGTGTCACAAGGATCCCACATTAGACATTACTATAGTACATATGGGTGAAGTGGAGACCAACGTGTAGTGCAGAAAGAGACTGATTTTGGATCACAATGACAGATCATGTGGCCCTCAGTTGCTTAGCTCCATTTGTTAAACCCAGTCTCACCTGATAGATCCAGCTTATACACAGTGAAAGTCTTTTTACCCTCTAGCCCAGTTCACCATGTCATTAATTCATGCAGCCTAAAGACGCACCAGTAGGCAGTAACATGAATGTCAAAACAATGTGAAGGCTGGATTTATTCAGTGATGCCAAACCGTGCGTACGTAAACTCTCCCTTTTGAACGAAGATCCAATGGTACTGCAGAATGACATCTCCAACTTTCCAGGTACAGATTTCACTCTGATATTAGTGCTCTTTACCCCCATATTTAAAACCTGTAAACCACACTGCAGAACTCATTGAGCCCTCAACCTGCTGTAACTTAAATGTAATTTATAGCAGAAACAGTGACTTTTATGACATTGACAAAGAAACCACAGCCACTTAATTAGGTCAGCATCAGCCCTGGTTCCAATGGAACAGATTGGTGCATACCAAGCGAGAGGTGCTCGAGTGTAAAATGTACTTGTCCCCTATATAACATTTCAAAACCATGTATTGCACCGTCCCTGGGTTCAGTCCCTCCTGTAGTGGAAAACACTGTGTCCCAGCTCCACTAGCGCCCCACCCAGCAGCACCCACAGGGGGACACACACCACACTGACCCACATTTCAAAGAGCTTCTCCAGGTGGGAGCACAGTGTCAGACAGAAGGCCAGCTTCAGCAGCAGGGCTGTCATGTACCACAACCTCCTCTTAAGGCTCTGCTCGCCATCCCTGGGGTCAAAGTCCGGCTTGCACCGCCCCGCCATCTTCACTATCAGCATGAGGATGAGGATGGTGTCAAAGGTCCAGACAGGGAGGAAAATGAGAAACCAGTTCCAGTGGATCTTAGAGTCCAGCTTGAGGACCAGCATGATGAGGAAAATCAGTGCGAAGATCCAGGAGAGGAGCACTCGCTGGGCCAGGGACATCTTCATCTACAGAGGACTGGCTCAGAGCCGGTATCATCCACACACAAGAGAAACTGAGGACCACAGCCAAGGTGACACACAGAGTGATCTGAAAATAAATCCAAAACACAACACAGCAGGTTCATTCTCTGATTAATGTCATGACGGAGTTAACTTTTTTTACACCACCCAAACTCGCACCCATTAACGTCCAGGCTTTCACACACGTGTATCTGGTTGAGAAATGATTTTGCTGTTACTTCCACTTAGTTCAGACCTGAAGCTACTGCTGGCTAGCTGTTACTACAGCTAACTTGCGAAACCCAACTAAAAGCATTGTTCAAAGAAAGATGTCTTACCAAGCCGACCGGGAGAGTCAACCTGTTTGAAAGACAGACTCTTCACCAGCAAGACGAATGTCGACACTTTTAAACAGACGACTTAGTTTTAACAGCAGTGCAGCTCGATCACAGGGAGGACTGCGGTGTAGTTAGCTTTTTGCTAATTCAAGCTAGTGTTCCGCCAGAAGTAAACTGCAAGGCTTCCGGTCTGTCTTTACAAAACAAAAGAATGTTTTCAATCAACTGGTATATCTTATTTTGATATATAAATGCAAGGCTTCCGCTACACCTTTTCAAAACAAAAGCACGAGTTTATTAGGTGATGTATTTTACTTTGATAGAAGGGCTTTAGCTACAATTGAGAACACAGTTCATGCCTTCTGTAGCTTTTCTGGAAATTTGGGGATTTTAGCAGCCTGGCAGGGATTTGACAAAAAAAACAATCTTAACTCAAGGTCCATTTGCTAGATTTCTTCCCCACATCTTAGCAAAATCCATCTGCCGATAAAGGTGGTTGAGAGATGTGAAGTGGACCTTGAGTTAAGAATTTACAAGTGCCAAGGTCAAGAATGAACCTGAAGCTCAACCTGATGTGGGTTTACAAAAAAAAAACGTACACATGGTGGTTATTTGGGGTGGTACCAGTATTTTTAGACTTGACATTTTTTTTAACATTAGTATACAATATAAAAAACTTGAGATGAGGGTGGGAGGTATATTGGTGGATTTGACCTCATGATGACTGCCAGGCTGGCACTGATTATAGGTGGCTTAATGGAGCTTGACCAAGAGGTAAAAATAATTCCAGCTGCTACTGTAAATCCAGTACACACAACCTCTTCTTAAAGGCCAACCAAATTAGTAGTCTGTGTAGCCATTCATACACATGCCAATATTAATGAGGGAAAATATTATATCTATAATGAATCAATATTTAATATTCAATAGAAGGAGATAACCCATGTTTTTAAATACTATTAAAATTTATTTAATTTTTACTGGGCTAGTATAACAAATTAATACAAAGTACAACTCTGTAGACATAATAGATTGTCAAAAAAAGTAAAGTACAAAACGCTTGAGGTAAAACATCATTTGAAAAAGATTCAGTTAAAAAGCCCTTATTAAAATCTCAATCCATTTAAAGGTAAAAGCTCACTTTACACTATCTAGCTGTCCTAAAAAACAATGCACTTTTATTTACAAGGTAGTGGTGGTGCAAAATACAGTGTGTGAGACGACATTCAGCCAAAATGTTCATGTCTTTGTCAAATGTAAACAATAAACATCGTCACATTCCTCAAACTCCTGCTGTACACAGCTAATACAGAAAAGCAAATGCTGTCACACTGATGTTTGCTCTAAGAGGATAATTTTGCATTAGCGCTCGATGACTGCCGCTGACAATAAAAACAATTCAACAGTCCATATGTCGTACAAAAGTGAAGAGCAGAAGACCTCATTACTGTGTTACTGCCACGAGGCAGACAACAAAGCTTAACAGAAAATATAAAACTGCTGTGAAGTTCAAAGTACACATATACAAAACACGTCCATGATAAATATGTTAGGTTTCTGTCATTTCTCCATGTAAATGGTGGTTGTAACAGCCATCTTCTTAGCAGAAGTAAGAAACTGGTACTGCGTGAAAATCCTCATAACTCCAATTTTTTCAGTGCTTCTCTACGGGTTAAAAGATAACATTAACTATACTGTATGTGTTTGATGTTTTCAACAGATCTAATGAAAATACCAAAACCAACAATATCTCAATATTTTCTGACTTCCCCGGCACATCCGTAACACTAACGCGCATTCGCTCCTACTAGAGACATAATTCTTAAAAAATGGGTTTTTAATCAAATAAAAAAGAGCTGGGCAGTGTAGTTTAGTTAAATGACTTAAGTTAGGAGTAAACAGTGTATTTGTTGGGACTATTTTCACCTGCAGATTAATACACATTTGATCATCTAGTGAGTGTTTACAGTACCAGCAATAAACTACAGTGCCTACGTTCATGCAAACGAAGAAACATGTCAGTGCAACTGCGCGGCTCATTGATGTGTTTTTAGTAGTTCTTGTACAAAATTTGAGGCCTGTGGTAGTGGACTAAGCTGAAGCAGGCGTTGGCTAGAGAGAGATCATTGTTGATTTTGGTCTTTTCATAGAATGAGTTGCCAATAAGAAACATATAGAATATAACCTTTGAAAGCTGAGGATAAAGTCACACACTAGAGGGTCCTCAAGTTGAAAACCTGGCGACACATTGTCAGTCCTTTTAATAACACTTCCACCGGCATTTGCTTTGTATTTTGTTGGAAAAACATGATTTTCTTAGTTCTTAAAAAGTCGACTTTTAGAGTTGCGAGGGTTTCACTCACCAGTGAAAGCACTTTGAATGGACACATCATGGAAACTCATCGTACTAAAGTAAGAAAGGAAGATGGTACCCATTTAATGAAATGTATACGCATGATTTCTTTAATCTTTCGCACAGATTATTACCGTACACACTGTGTGGGCTACAGCTACACAGTGCTCTGCCTGCTCTCGCGGCTGTACCCCATAGCCTCTGAGGAGTGAGGTGGGAAATCAATAAATATCCCATCTGAGTCTGAGTCTGCAGACTCCAGCACTTGTCCAATTATGGTTTCAGGGCTGGATGATTCACTGGGTGGCGTGGAGGATGCACCCTTACTGAGATCAGTCATTGTTGTTGTGGCCTCAGTGCCGTGGAGAGCTCCTGAGGAATGAAGGGGAAGGATGGACGGAGACGAAAGAGGCAAGCCCATGGCGCTCGCTCCTGCTTGTAAAATACCTGTGAATGAGAGGGTATACTGGATAAATATGGATTATTACATTTAGATGTTTCACAATAACCAACATCAGATGTCTTAATCTGCGTCATACCATTGAACTGAGAGCCCACGCACAGCCTGTTGGAGGAGGGGCCAGACAGTTCAGATCCTGAAGCCAGGTCAGCGTAGGCCAGTCCTTGTTCCTCCAGGCATGATATAATCTCACAGGCCGAGTGGCGGCGGATTCCTCCACTGCCAACAGAGCTGGCATCTGGGTCATACTCAGCCACCGGGGTCAGCAGCAGAGGGATATTGTAGCTTTTTGATCGTACCACAGGGTTTTTACACGGTTGATCTGCAGACTTGGGCCAGCCCCACGGTAAACACTTCTCTGAAAGACGAGAGGAAAAGTTGGTGAAGGTGTTGATTAATTTATGTTACTTGTCAGCCACATGCCAGTGTTACTCTACGTTTTGGGTTTGTGCCCAGATTGTCTCACCCAGAACACAGCAATGGGCCTCAGCGCCATCTCCAGAGTAAAGCCCATGGGTGCCCAGGTAGGGCGAGACCACCTTCTGAACCAGGGACTCGAGCCTCAGGTAGTCCTCATTCACACCACGCGACTCATGGACCCCCTAAACACATACAGAAGCAGGGATCAAAGTGTGAATTTAAGGCTTCAAACACACCAATGGATTGTTTCTGCTGGTCTGAATTAAAGCTGCTCCTTGGTGCGTAAGCAATCAAGACCATGAGAAAAATAATAAATGACAATTTTGATTATTAACTCACAGAATATGTCTTACATTTTCTTCTTGGAGCACTCAAATGTGAGTATTTGTATGAGTCTCACTTGAGTGGAAAGTGAGTAACTTTGTTTTTTATGACTGTAGATCAGGCACTAAGCAATAACAAACTAATAAATAATAAGATACAATAAAACAATATTAGGAATGGGGGTAAACAATAATAAAATGTCATTGTGGGCTCCAAATAAGAATAGTAATCAGAAACATGTGTACAAAGAGTCCGTGGTAACTTGAGATGGAAACTACAGTTAGATTTTTGACATGTTATTGACTACATGTTAATAATTAAGAACAGAAACAAACAAAAAAAACCCAACCCCAGATCAATTGATAATAAAAACATTAAATGCAGACTCATTATTCATTTTACTCAATTACAAGGTAACCTGGTTTGGATTCATTCAAGTATGCACTTCTTTAACCCATTGATGCCTGAATTTATTTACAATAACAAATAGGCGACATTTGCGACAATCGGTGTTAAGGGGTTAAGATATATGCACTTGAACATGCAACAAATAAATATTTTTAACTAGAATTTTAATAGCTTTATTTTATGCTATTCATTCTAATGTGAGTATTTATGTGTAGATACAAGACACGATACAGACTGGAGCTGGACAGAAGATACAAAACTGCAGGCGTTAATTATCTGTAATAGTACTTTACTGTGCTTGGAAACTACCACGTGCAAAGCTCCAAAATATGATTTGTTGCTGTTTTGCCTTGCTGGGAACTGAAAGAAAAAACAAACAGTGAGCGAGGAAACATGCCATTAAGTTTGACGCCTGCAGCCCTACCTGTAGAATAAGCAGCATCTGTGTAACAGAAGGCGGCACACGGGCCCGAGGTCGAGACAGGGCGTCGTCTAACTTTACACTCAGGACTATGGTGTTCCTGAAGTGAAGCAGAGCTAGCTGTCGGACAGAGGGCTCCTTACCCTGCACACATCGGGGACACACAAAACAGCAGAATTGAGCAGAACAGTGATCATCATCCAGTCAAGACTGGATAGTTGTTGATCCTTTGGGCAGCAAAGACAGAAAAAAACAGCAAGAGGGTTGTGCACCTGAACAGGATGGAAGATGGCCTGCAGCATCGAGAGAACATCACAGAAGAAGAAGTCCCAGGTCTCTGCCAGAGAGTCGAGTAACTTCTGACCTGCATCAATCACACAGGAACAAGCCAGAAATGCAGTTGATTAAAGCTTAATTCACAGGTACAGACCGCTACGAAATATATTCAGACCATTTATCCAATCAATCATACCTTCATAGAACCTTATCTTGTCCCGAAGGATGACCATGCCTTTTGTCAGCAACTGGTTCTGTAGAGTACAGTGAAAAGAGGCCATTAAATACAGAGACACCTCCACACCACAGAGTGACAACTACTGTTAAAAGACGTCTGCTGCAATATATGATTAAGTGTCATCTCAATGTTTTTGCAGCTAATCCCAATGCTACCATTTCATTCAATAATAAAATAATAACAGCCTATTTATTACCTGTAGGTATTCTGTGAAGAAGGACCCCAGCTCAGTCTTCAACAGATGCCTGAGGAAACAAATAATCATAAGATGGACAGTATGCAACCACTGTTAGCTATTACTATTACTATTTTCTCATTTCTGTGTGAATAAGGTGTTTACAACCTGCATTTAATCACACGTGACCGTGCAGTTTACATGACATAGAACCACAGGGTATAAAGCAATCTACTAAGCACACAGTTTTCCTGCTTGACCATCGAGAGTTGAAGAAATGTGTGTCAACCTCCTTGTGGCTTTGCTGCACATGAAAACATGTTTACTGGGCTATAACGGAGGCTGATGTGACAGAAGTGATGGGTCTGGTTTAGCTAGATAATAAGGTATCTGGCATGACCACATGACTCCCCAGGCCCTTGCATACAGTACCCACACACACACATACACACACACACACAAACAAACTCATTCACAAGGAAACGTTCAGTCAGCAAACGTCGGACACACAGTAATTATACTAATTTTAGCCCAAAATTACATCAACGGTCTAAAATAAGGAAGCTTTCTCTTTACTGTGCGTGAGTGTGTGTGGCTGTTTCTGTGGCTGTCGAAACTTACCGGACACCTTCATTGAGGACGAAGAGCTCGTTATCTGCCAAACCTTTCTTCTGGAAGACTGCTATGACAGCATTGTGAATGCTGCAACATAAAACACAAACACACACAAACTGGTCTATATTATTGTTCACAATGCATTTAACCACTACATGCTGCACCTGGATTGTATTCGGTGTACCTGTTCCAGGTGGCATTGGCTCCTGCCCTCTTCTGCTTCTCCCCTCTGTCCTCTGGTGAACTTTTCTCGCTCCTCCCCAGCTCGCTGAGGCTGGGAGAGCTCATCAGCTTCAGCCGGTGCAGAGTCCTCATGAGGGAGATATAGAGGAAGCGGAAAGAAACAGAGTATGCACTAAGTACCGGATAGGAGAGAAAGAAGGTCAGGCTATGAGCGGACATGCAGCGACACAGAGAAGAAACCCGAGGAGATCTGGAGCTGGGGAAAGGTAGAGAACATAAGCAGAGAGAGAGAGAGAGCTATAAGAGAACGCAGAGGGAAAAAAGCACAATGACAATACAAAGAGCGGCCGGTGACAGAGGAGGAGAGAAGTAGGACAGAATGATGCATGGAGAGAGAGGGGCAGCACGTTAAGAGCAGGATGGGTGGAGCCAAGCCGAGAGGTGGGCCACCGCACTGCCCGAGGTCTCAGAAGAGGAGAAAACAATGGCACATGCACTGATAGGGGGCATACTCTTCCTCCCTCTCTGCCTCTCTTTCAGTACAATACAACCATTGATACAAACAAATATTTATGCAGAACACAGATGCCAGAGGAACTGCAGGGTAAGCAGACTGAAGCAGCAGAGGACTTTGTTGTGCTTGTCACTGTACTGCGAGGAGGCGGAGGAGGAAGTTGTCCGGCTTATTAACAACAACAACAACAGGGATAGGAAGCGGTGACACAGTACGGGACAATAAAGAAGGTTTTCCTGCTCTCCCCTTGTGAGCGTACAGCCCGACCAATGCTGGATCTTGGAAGCCGATAATGATATTGATATTTGAGAGTTTAAACATCCAGTTTCTTCTCTTTTATATCCCCTTAATTAGCTTTAAGATTGGAAAAATCATCATCACGTATTTATTGTGTATCCACTTGGTTGAACTATGAAAACTATGATGTTCACACTTAGAGAGATTCAAACCCAGGACTTCATGTATTTATGGCTGCACTGTCCCATCAAATGCAAATATTCTGAATGTCTTGTGCATCATTTTTGGACACACTGATATGTTTATTATCTTTGGAAATTTTTGTAATATTGATCCCACTTTCATATCTGCATGCTAAATATGAAGCTAGAAACAACCGTTAGTTAGCCAATCTTACCATATAAACAGGGGGAAACAGCTATCCTGGCTCTGCCCACAGGTAAAAAAAAAGGGGGGGTTATGTCCTGAACTATTTCTTGTGACTTTTTGGAGTCACGTTACAGTGAAATTGCCAGGCAACAGGAGGAGAGTCCAGGGGATCTCTCCATGGATAAAAAATACTGGAATGTTGGAAAATGGATTTTGTTACCTTTGGACAGAACAAGGCCAGTGTGGCACATATTTTTATATTATATTTATGTAACTACCCATTCACTTGTGTGTTATTTTATAGGTATGCACTTTATCTTGCATCTTTTTGGACCTCTTTCAATTTAATGAAACAAAATAATACAACTCAACAACTCAATTTGGCATTTAAAAGGTCACTGCAATTATATAAGCTGTGGGTTTGTGCTGCGTTCTTCAGAACACCAGAACAAGTAAAACCACTGAGGACCAGTCAACTCATTGCTATGTATTGTTTTTATTCTTTCAGAGTAAATTATTTCTAAAATATGTCACCCCCTTAAGTCAGCACCCTATGGGTGTAACATAGCTGTTTCCCCCTTGTTTGCAGTCTTTATGCTAAGCTAAGATAACTGGCTGCTGGCTAGATAATCTGGTATATCTATTCTGATCTCCTCATCTAATTTGAATAAGAATATTTTCCAAAATGTTAAACTATTAAGCCTACCTAAAAAATCTGATAACAGTATCAGCCAATAGTAATTTACAAAAAAACACGACGAAAAATGAACTCATCAGTGCTCCCTGGTGGACAAACAATGTAATGGAACCTACTTATCAGCTGACATACTGATACCATATAGCCCTAGCAGTGGTCGGCCGCGTGCCAGAACCGGCCCACCAGCAAAATCTGGCCCATGGCCAGATTGCTTTGATAGCATAAAAATAAAAAATAAATTAATCGATAATGGCTGGTGCTGAAATAGATCTCAGTCATGACAGCTACAGTTACTCACACAATCACTTCCTATTAAGTGATTTTGCCTCTAAAATAAAAGCGTGAGAAAGTCTTTTGCAGCAATGCTTCATGTCGAGTTTAAGAGGTTTTACTTTGAAGAGTTCTGAAGGACATTCACAAGAGCCTCTGGCTTGCTTGACACACCTCTGAAAAAGCCATCAGTAGATTCCCCTGAATTTCCTCAGGAAAATGAATATATGTGTCCATATGTTTATGAATGCGGATCGCGCCGGAACGCCGGAACGCGCACACACACACTGCAGCACATGCTTTATTATGAGCATGTGCAAAAGTGTCCTTTTATTCAATTTGTTTAACAAGGGAGAAAAAAATATCCACAGTAAGTTGATATCGATCTTACAATCTACCTAACGGGAGTCCCGCACAGTGCCAAACTGAACTAAACGTACATATGATTTTAAGTAATTTGACTTTGTTCTGGTCCGCCATATAACGGCTTGAAAAAAAATTGGCCCGATGCCTGCCATATAGGGTAGTTTGGGTAAGACGCCTTTGCTCAATGTGTATTTGCAGACACATAAAAGCACATGTTATGTTGTTATGTTATTGATTTTTTTGTATCATAAAGATGGCTATGCTTAGGGTTACATATTATAAAGTAAAATAAATACCTACATTTGACAAATTAATTTGTATTTAATCAAATAATTTTTTTTTAGGAAAAACGCATTTTCCCAGCTACTGGGGTAAGATGCCCCCTCCCATGGTGTGAAATCACTTTAATAGATAAAACAGATAAAATAAACTACAAGTAGCTGGTTAAAAACAACGGGATTATGTGATAGACCAATGTTTTAGAAATAAACTTGCCTTGCCTCATGTTATTAGCTCTCCTATCATTTATTCGTCAAGACTTTTAAACAGTGAGGTTGCTAGAAACTTCATTAGCACAAAGTCTGAGGTAAAATAAGCACTAGCCAGCTAGCTATGTGAGCACATGTAAATTTATAACCTCAGAATTTTACCTCACACTATCACACTACCAGTGTATATATATATATATATATATATATATATTAGAATTAAGCAGGGGGGCGTCTTACCCCATGCTACCCTATCTGCAATAAACTAATATATTGGGCCCATCAGTTTGTCAGTCTAGCTCTGTATGAGACAACCTACCCTCCTAACTCAATTCAGAAGGGCAGCTGTGATGGCAATTTTAAATGAATGAATACCTGCTTTCATAAAAAATCAAAAAGTCCTGAACTGAAATGAGACACAGAGCACGGTTTGCATATTTTCAGGAGGGACTGGTGAAAAGTAGCAGAAGAAGAAGAAATGATGAGTTCAAACCCACACAGTCCAGGAACTCTCTGCTCACAGCACGGCAGTAAACAACAGACCCCCTTCTCCACCCACGTACACACAAACACAGAAAACACGGAAGGCAAGTGTGCAAACTGATGAGATGTAGGCTACACACATAAGGAAATGTGTCAATCAAACGTCCCACCAGGAGATCATTATCATTAGGGCAACATGTGTTGCAAGCCAGCTCAGCCGGTTAATGAAATCTTCCGGGAGGAGAGATGGGAGGATTTTTTTATGAATGCTAATTAATATTTCAGGCCTTTTCCAGGATGCTGTTAATCCCATGAACTGAGCCTTACCTCCTGATTGGATGCTCACTGCTGCTGTCCATGTCTGGACTCGGGGGAGGGGCCGAGAAGGTGCTGAAGTTGAGTGACAGGGGCCGGGAGGAGGGCCGGGAGGCGTGCCTCCGCCGGAGTCCATCAAGCATCTGAACACAAGAGAGCAGATGATGGAAAAATTGGTTGTTAAGGTTTGACTGAAGATAACCATATCATCCAAGGCGCCTACAGCGTACAGGAGTGATCACAAGTAGATCAAGCGGCTATGTGAAAAATGTGTGAGGCCCTGACATAGCCTATAGCTATATACCACTTACCTTGAGACAATGAATGAAACACTGGAGCACTAAAAACACATAAATTAAACTTACGCTTATGGGGACGCAGGAGACACTCAAGCCACACATTATAGTGTGAAATCAGCCGGGTGCTTTCTGCTTCCTTATTCCTTCGGGGACTGTTATTTCAACACACTGGTTGAGAGTGTTTTGCAATCAGAGCTCAACCTTACGCCCCAACCTTACCACAATCACACACACGCATTACATCAGAGAGAGAAAAAAAGGGAACTGCTTGCGTGTGCATGTACAGTATGAGTGTGTGTGTGTGTGTGTGAATGAATTATTCCTGTAAAAGCCAGGAAGACTAGATCCTCCCTCTTGGAGTATGACATTACAGTATTATAGTCTGTTTGGGTGTCTTCGCCATAGAAACACACCGTTCATGGTAAAGCACCATCCCCTGGCCAGAGGGGAGAACAACAGTCTGGGCTGTCACTCTTCAGACAAAAGACACAACACCAGCCTCCTTCACTGCCACCCTGCATGCCAGTGATAAAATGGGTGACTAGTGTGTTTTCACAAGGGTTGGCCTGCAGTTTTATTGGAGTAAGATCACATCTCAGCCAGAGCCCCAGAAGCAGACTACACACTGTCTATTACCCGACATGCCAGGCCACGCCAGTGTGGGCATTTCTGCTTTTGTACACCCCTCCTCCTTTTCTTTTTAGGGGCGACTACGGTCAGAGCCACTTTTAATTTCTATTAGTCTCAGGCGCTCTTCTGGCCTATTCCTAACCCGTTGTGCGAACGCCCTCATGTTTATTCCACCAAATAGGTAATCAATCGGCCAGACGCGCAATCAACAGTCCATGTTTGTCCTACACGGAGGACTATACAGGCAGTCGTGCGTACGTGGATGTTTTTCTATTTTTTCTACCTGTGTGGACGAGAGAATGGGGCGAAGTACCACTGTAAGCAACGTGACTGCCTCGTGTACAACCTAGGTGGGCACGGATGCATCCTTAAGTCCACCGATGGATAAAAGCTGTAGTCTCTTATAATGGCCACAAAGTTGCCGTATGTCATGCGCCTCTACCCGCCCACTGTAGCCCGCACTCACCGTTCCTGATCCTGTCGTGTTGTTCCTGTTGGGATGAAACGCTCATGTAGTACAGAGGGGATGTGTTTGCTGTCCGGGCTCATCAGCAACTGGCTCCTCTACTGTTCCCCGCCGGTCTGCGCACCCACACGGGCATCAGGATGGGTCCGACCTGCGGTGGTGGAGGGGGACTCATTCATGAAGCATGCTCCGCCGCTCGCTAGCTCTCTCTCTCTCTCTCTCTGGCTCGCCCCCGCTTTGTTTTGACGAGATGCAAAGCAAACCTGGACGCGGCCGCCAGGAGCACGTGTACGCGCACTGTGGTTTATAGCTTTATGCAAAGGAGGGGGGTTCAAGAAAAAACACATAAGCACGAGTTTTGTCATGCTCTGGACAGACATGTTTCATCTTGATAATCAAACAGGCTATTAAAACGCCGACGGAGACAGATCCACTGGCACGTAGCACCAAACACGCAGCCCTCTACAAATAAAAACAGGAGCTACTGGATGCTATTTGCGCTATAGCACAACTTGGGCTCCATGCAGGTGCGCAGACATTACTGGAGAAAGAAAGGCCTGCACGTGCCACGTTGCTTTGGTCTCATGCATGAATTTGGCTACATAAACAGAGTGGGAGGTAGTAATAAAAGCATAGTATCCAGGACTGACCCCAATGCCGTGTAACACAGTGGGTGTTTTGCCATCTGTCAAAGCATTTAGCAAATAATCCCCTATTTCTATGGGTCGTGATGTAAATAACTGGGTCTCGTGAGAAACCTCACTGGTATAAAAACCACGCAATAAGAACTGAGGCACACGTTTCGGTTGCCTCCTCAATATATCAGTAAATATATGAGGCTACCTTTTTGTCTGGTTGGCAAACAAAAACCAAACCAGGACATGCACGCAGTAAACCAGGAGCACATTAACATAAACACACTGTATAACCCAAATGGACAATCGGCTACGTTTCTGTCACGTCAGATTCTCAGAAGACTTTGATAATTATTTAAGTGAAAACGTGTGAAAAGCAAGGGAGGCCTAATAGTGGAAGTCACATACTGAAATTAAGAAAAAAAATGTGGAAACATTAAATGTCCTTTTTAATTTTACATATTGTCCTTTATTACGAATTTACAACCACTCCCAAGTAACAGTAGATGAGAAAAACATGGCCCGTATCAGATTTATTATGAATCTCTTCATTGAATCTGCCTGATCCATAAATGTAATGTTCACTCAGGTCCGTCTCGTAAATTCCCATTTTCAAGCCCGCAGATGAACTGCCACTATGCTACTATGTGTTGTAATAATTGTTAGTATTGCTTTGAAGTCACTGAGTCATTCTATATGGAAGCTATGGAGAAAATATCATTGTTTCATATTAACATTTGTATGTAGAAATAAATAAATTGGCACATAAGTAATTAAAAACGCGATCTATATCAGACTAATTTAGTATTATTGTTGATAATCATGTGCACCATCGACAGAAGAGATCAGGGATAACGCACTAATGATTAAGGCTGGTTGTGCCATAAAACCACGAGTGTTGACTAAACAATAAAATTCGCCATGACAAAATGAACACTGAAGTTTCATGTTTTCCGACAGGACACAAAAGCAGCATAAACTCCTCCTCCTTCTGTCAGAGCGGGAAGTTCAGATGTTCGTCTGGTTTAGCTAACGTACCACATATCTCGGTGCCCCGGATGCTAATTCAACACAAAACTCACTTGTGAGGAATCTTAACGAGTGAGTTTGTATTTATGTGGATGCGCAAACTAACTAACAACAGCTTATGGTCACGGCTAATGTAATATTGAAAGTGAAGCCAGTTTGACCTGCTGCAGACGTTAGCTTCACTTTAGCTTTTAAAAAGGAAGTTTCCCTGATGCACGAATAGAGGGATAGAGGGCGGTTATGAGAGCTGACAACACCTGCTATTTAGCGTTAGCTACATTAACTATGGCCCGTTTCTGTTTGTTTTAGAGGAGAGCTCTGCAATCATGTCCAGTAACGCCGAAGAGAGGAGCAGCTCTGCACCCAAGTGCTTCGGACAGGTGGGTTACAGAGCACGCTACTCCTTTATCTGAAAGCTCCTGTTCGTTCAAGTGAGGCTCAGGTGTGCAGATTGAATTAACTAACGGTAGTGCAAGGCTGCACCGGTCTCACCGTCCTACAGATGTTAAAGTTATGAGAGAAATCCAGGGTTTTTTCAGTCATGCAAGTGTGTCAGTCTCTATCACAGTGATCATGTGTTTCTCTCCCCAGCCTGGATCTTCTCCCGTTGCTTTTCTGTTCAGGTGGACTGAACACACTGATTTAAACACGTCAGCATGCAAAAGAGAGAGTGTATCTGTGTATTTTTTTTTACTGATATGGACCTATGCATCTGATATAGAAGTTGATTGGATTGTAATGTACTGACAAACTGTCCCAGGGTGGTTTTCAATGTTTCACCTGGTGCATGCTGGGATACACGTCTGTCACCCACAGTCCAAAAAGTGAAATGAGAAAAATAAATTAAAGAATTTAGTAATTTGAACCCTTATCATCCAGTTTAGATTGATGTCCCCTTTCAGTAGCTTTAAGTTTGGATAAACCATAAGATTCCACATTGTCTGACAGTATCTCAACGCTTCACTGAAGCTCGTTTACAGAGAGTGAATATTTAAACCCAGGACTCCATGTTTTCATGGCTGCACCGCTCCAACAATGTCTTGTCCATCATTTAATGCAAATTTCACCCTCGTAACTTTGGGATCTCCAATAGAATTTAAAATACAGGTCTATGGATTTGGCCAGTGTTTGAATGCACAAAATAATAATGTTGTAACACATTTCTCCAACCTGTCCAACGATGTTGTAAACTTTAAAGTCTTGTGGCTCTGTGACACCAGAAGGTATTGTGACTGCATTGGGGTGAAGGGGTTACTCAGAGATGAATGAGGTTTCATTGAAAAACCACCCGTCCTTTTCTTATGTCGCGCGCGCGTGTGTGTGTGTGTGGTTTGTCTGTTTTTTGCTCTCCTAACTGGACTGTGTGGTCAGTGTACCTACACAGCTGATGAGTACCAGGCGGTGCAAAACGCTCTGCGCCAGAAGTTGGGACCAGAGTACATCAGCACCAGAGTGGCTGGGGGAGGACAGAGGGCAAGTCTTTGTTTATCTCTCTGCCTTTGCTTCGTGTGAAATAGTGCAAACAAGCAAAGTTATGTATGTCTCTCAGCTGGGTGACATTATTGCACAAATGCATTTTCATGTATGTTATATGATTTCTTTGGATTCACTTGGATATAGGGCTGGGAAATAAAACAATAATGATAATTATTGCAATATAATTTTCCACAATAACAACATTAATGTTCAATGAATTAATAGAGATAGACATTTATTTTTAAGGGACTGAAAAAGATTTTACTTAATTGTACTCATGCATATTTGTTGAAAATTTTTGTTAAGTGATCCACTGTTTGACATAAATAATAAAAGTTTAAGACCACAATTAACCATCTGGTTTCTTCACTCAGGAGCAAAAATCTACCTGTAAACTTGAAAATATTATTACATTTATCATGATAATTATTGATATCTAATGATATGAAATTTTTATAGTGATAAAGGTTTTGGCCATATATCTCCCAGTCCTACTTAGATATTCTCTCTCTCGCTCTCATATATTTATTTATATATCTCAACACCTGAATGATCTCTTCCAGGTGTGCTATATTGAAGGGCATCGTGTAATCAGCTTGGCTAATGAGATGTTTGGATACAACGGATGGTCTCACTCCATCTCTCAGCAGAACGTCGGTACGTCTCACAGCTTCTTGTTGCCAGAGGATCAACTCAAGTCAAGCTGCTGCCACAGAGCGAGACTAACAAAACACTTCCATTTCACAGACTTTGTCGACCTCATCAGTGGCAAGTTTTATGTCGGAGTCAGCGCGTTTGTCAAAGTGCAGCTGAAGGTTAGATAAATATATTTATCACTCAGCATTATTTTCACAAGATGGAGATTAATTTAACTTGAAATGTTTTATGTATTCTCTCCTCCACGTGAAGTTGTGTGTAACGCATACTTTTCCTCTAGGACGGGTCGTTTCATGAGGATGTAGGGTACGGAGTCAGCGAAGGACTGAAGTCTAAAGCTCTGTCACTGGAAAAGGCGAGAAAGGAAGCTGTCACTGATGGCATGAAGAGAGCGTTAAAGTACTGGAATTTACATTTTTGTCTTATCAATTTAAACTATTCAGAAAAAATAATTTAGAACAGTTTTTCTAAAATATGTTTAGCTATAAGAAGACTGACTGCTTTTGCTGATATTAGATTTGTGTGTGTGTGGTGTTTTTTCTTTTTTTTGTCTGGTCTTGTTGTGGATGGTCTTGTTGAGATGCTTCGGTAATGCTCTTGGAAACTGCATCCTGAATAAAGAATACCTCCAAGCCATTAACAAGATCCCCAAAGAGGTCAGATGCAGTGCATACACTTTTTTTTGTTTTTATTTTCATTTAAAAAATTCTTTGGATGCTGAATCTTGTCACTTCTCCTCTACACGAAGCCTCCTCCTCCTCTAGACCCAGCCCAGACTAAGCGCTGTGAGGGCGAGCCATCAGTGGAGAAGGCCCGGGTCTCCAGTCTGGTCCAGGAGGAAAAGTGTGTATGTGCGGTTGTTTCTGGCAGGAAGCCGCTGGAGCCCAGAGTCCTCAACCAGAACCAGAACCAGAACTGTTCGGATGTTCATACTCCTAATACTGCTGGCTCTGCTCCCAGCAGTGACCATGAGAACGTCTGCTCCAGGTAAACAGCTGTGGGTCTAGTTTCTGTTTTTAACGGCGCCCTTGATCCATCTCTGTCTCTTGCGCATCCAAATGTGCAGCACCTCCGATCCGTTTCCTCTGTTTCTTCCTGTAAGACCTGTCATGGACTCGGTGGACGTTGTCGGGTCTGAAGCGCATTCAGACCCCAAACAGTTGAGGAAACTCCGACAGCAGCAGCTTCAGCAGAAGTTCAGGAGAGAGATGGAGGCAAAGAGGCTGCAGCAGCACCAGGACCCGGCCAAGTCTGAGGGCACAGATGTCACTATTGGACGAGGATCCAGTGGAGGTGAGGGCTTCATGTGTAACATACTTCAGAGTGATTTCACTCCCTTTTTATAGCAGCAACCTCAAACTCAAACGGCCTTTCACTGGACAGGACGTAACAGTAACACTGTGTGAAATTGCTTACCTGGAGAATAGCGTGTTTCTGTTTCCAGATTGAAGAGGAAGCTGTCACATTTAAAGACACCAAATCCAACTCTGTTGAAACTGCTGAAACTGTTGTTGATAGGTTGTGTAATTAAGCACATAAATGTGACAGAGTATCACTGACGTTGAAACATGTGTGGGGTGGCCTCCAGGTTTGAGAATGCTGGTTTAAAGTGTCTCTTTATTTGTAACTTTTAGGAGTTTAACTCTTACTTTTCTCTGGTGTGGTTTTTTTTTTTTCCATTCCTCCAGGTCATGAAGGTGTACCAGCGTTCAGTGACGACACCTTGGCTGGACACAGGAAGCCCAGCAGCAGGGATGAGTATTTAGCAGGTGCTATAAGCCGCCACCAGAGGGCTCAATGTACTCCTC